CCATGTTTGTCATTCCTTGCTTCCCTTTTTGGACAGTTGCACTGCACCTAGATGCATTCCAAAAATATTTGGTTTAAGTTTTGTAATTTTGCATAAAGAGTATTATGCTTTTTCTACTTAATAGGTAATTTCTAAGATTCAAACATATGCTGTGTTAATGGAGTTGATCCTTTTGATTGCTGTATAATATTCCATTGTATGACTACTATGTATGCCACATTAAAGCAAAATAGTAACAGGTCCATATCTGAACTCCTAATATCTCCCACAAACAGGCTCCTCCCGCAGTCTTCCCATCTTTGTTAATGTCAGCTCCATCCTTCCCATCACTTGGGTCAAAACCTTGGAGTCACCCTTGACTCCTCTTTCTCTCACACACATTCAGTCTGTAAACAAATCCTACAATTCTGCTTCCAAAGCGTATTCAGAATTCAACTTCATTTTACAACCTTCGTTCTCAATTCTGTGGTCCCAGTAGCCATTGTCTCTCCCTTGGATTATTGGAATCATCTCCTAACTGGTTTTTCTGCTTCTGCTCTGTTGTCCTGCAGCCGCTTTTCAATCTAGCAGACAGACATACCTTGGTAAATGCCAGTATCCATGTCACCTCTCTACTCAACTCTTTTTCTTTTCTTTTCCTTCCTTCCTTTTTTTTTTTCTTTTTTTTTTTTTTGACAGAGTCTCTCTCTGTTGCCCAGGCAGGAGTGCAGTGGTGTCATCTTAGGTCACTACAACCTCTGCCTCCTGTGTTCAAGCGATTTTCCTGCCTCAGCCTCCCAAATAACTGGAGTTACAGGCATACATGACACACCAGGCTAACTTTTGTATTTTCAGTAGAGACAGCATTTCGCCATGTGGGCCAAGCTGGTCTCGAACTCCTGGCTTTAAGCGATCCACCCACCTTGGCCTCCCAAAGTGCTGGGATTACAAGCGTGAGCCACTGCACCCAGCCCCCTCTGCTCAACTCTCCAGTGGCTTCCTGTCTCTGACTAAAAGCCAACTTCCCTCTGCCTCGTGACCTTTGCACCTGCTATTCTTCCTGCTAGGATGAGCTTCCTCCTGCCATTCTCGTGGCTCATTCCTGCCCTTCTTGTTGATGCCTTCTCTCCCTTCTAAAATTTGCCATCACAGAAACCCTTCAAATTTTCTGTCCTTGCCTAATTTTTCTTTTTAGTGCTTATTACTAATTGTGTGTATGTGTTTATATATATATACATATGTGTATGTGTGTGGAGAGAGGAAAAAGAATAAATACACATATATGTATTACATATCTATAATTTGTCTTGCTCACTGGGACATATACTCAGTGCAGAAAAGCATTTGTGTTAGTTTTATTCATTGCTGTATCCCCATCGATTCATAAAATCACACCATACACACTCAGCAAATATTTGTTGAATGAAAACAAATGAATAGCTGAAAAGTAACTAGTAGCACATATGTTTCATGGATAAAGCATATAAATGACACCTTGCTGAAATCTGAAAGTAAATTTATGAGGCACCCAGAAGCCACAACCAATGTCGTCTCAGTGTGGTGGTTGTCATGAGACTCCAGGCTGCTGAAGGCTGCCATCCGCCGTGCAACCTCCTTCGGTCCCCACAAGCCGTGCTGAAATCTGAAATCCCTGGAGGCTGGCTTGGCAGCAGGCAAAGACTGAAGATGCCTGCCAAGACCCGATGTAACCAGGGTCCCCACTTGGTGAAAGCATCTGCATTTATCTTTAAGGAAAGATAAATCCAGTCAAAGGGAGAATCCTGAATGGGCACAGACTGACCTTACAAGCCAAGAGCTGGCAAGGCGTTGGGCACAGCCCTGGGTTTCTGGTCCCATATAAGAGAAAGTATTTCCCTCCTCCTTCATAAAGCTTCGCCTGGCTGTGCAGTGTGTGGCTTGCCCTGTGGTTTCTGAGCACACTTGCACTTCAGGCACATGTGTTCTGGATTCTAGCCTTTGATCTCCCCACATTAAACTCAGAGGAGTGAGGAAGAGGGCTGCAGTGACAGACAGAAGGTGTTCTTGGTGACCATGTGGTTTGCAGGTCGTCTTTACATCTGGGCTGGCTACGACAACGAGGCAGCCACGGTGACACCTGAAGGCATCTCTCTAACCCCTTCAATGTTCTGTGCTAGCAACTTCCTCGAAAGCTAATTTAAGCCCACTCTGTGCCTACTCTACTGCATTAAACCACCAAAATTAAGGTGCACATTGTCTAAATTCTTAGTTTCACCCCAACTCTACTGTGGGGTTATAAAATCAATGGAGTACATGATTAGAACTAAGAGAAGGTTTCTAGAGGCAGCATGTGAGTCAGTTTACCTTCTTAAGAGGTAAGATTGTTAGCTAATGCAATGCAATTAAAGGTTAAGATTGCTATTGAGAGAAAATATATAATTTGCCTAAAAATCAAGAGACAATGTCAGGTTTCTCTACTTCAGATACATGAAAAGAGTTTAGTGCTTATATTTTACATTCTGATAGTGGATTTTTTTTTTTTTTTCTGACAGAGTGTCACTCTGTCACCCAGGCTGGAGTGCAGTGGCATGATCTCGGCTCACTGCAACCTCCGTCTACTGGATTCAAGCAATTATCCTGCCTCAGCCTCCCAAGTAGCTGGGATTACAGGCACCCATCACCATGCCCAGCTAATTTTTGTATTTTTAGTAAAGACAGGGTTTCACCATGTTGGCCAGGCTGGTTTCGAACTCCTAACCCCAGGCAATCAGCCCACCTTGGCCTCCCAAAGTGCTGGGATTACAGGTGTGAGCCACCGCGCCCTGCCTGATAGTGGATTTCTATTTGTTTAACCCAGACATTACAACTTGTGGGTCACAGTTAGTCCCCTTTGCTTTGGTCCTGTTTTCAACCCACCTGTGTCACTGAGAGACGGACAGACCGATAAGAGCAATGATACTTATGAAGACAAAATAACTGATCAGAAAAGACTTTCGTGGTCCAGAGAAGCTTCTCAGAGAGCCAATTAAAGACTGCCTACTGCCTGGGCATGTGGAGGTGGGATGAGGATTACAAAGCAGCACAAGGAAAATTCTGGAGTCATTTGATTGAGGTGGTTGTTCCACAGACATGCTGACACTTGTCAAATTGTACACTAAACGTGCATCATTCATACGGGATCAATTATACTTCCGTGAGTAAGCAAATTTTCAGGAAAAAAAAAACAGACTTAAAAATCTTACAGACTTCTTTTCAAACGAAGTGGATCATATGGAATTGAAGTGCTTGTCAGGAACCCCAATCTTGCTGTCAAAAGTCTGCTTGAAATGAGTGGATATGAGAAGCACAGACCAGGGGAACACTAACCCTCGGTTGTCCATTTTCTTATCAGCAAAAGTGAGATATGTAAACCACTTAAGCCTAGCACCTCATCAAAATGCCCTCACTTGGCCACAATTTTCTCAATTTTTTTCTCACTCTGTTGCCCAGCTGGAGTGCAGTGGTCCAATCTCAGCTTACTGCAACCTCCACCTCCCAGGTTCAAGCAATTCTTATATCCTAGGTTCAAGCAATATCATCCCTCAGCCTCCCAAGCAGCTGGAATTACAGGCATGCGCCACCACACCCAGCTAATTTTTGTATTTTTAGTAGAGACGGGCTTTCACCATGTTGGCCAGGCTGTCTCAAACTCCTGATCCCAGGTGATCTGCCGCCTTGGCCTCCCATAGTGCAGGGATTATAGGTGTGAGCCACCATGCCCGGCCTCAATTATTTTTAAATCAAGAGTTGATATAAGAGTAGCTAGGCATGATGGATGGCACGCTCCTGTAACCCCAGCTACTCAGGAAGCTGAGGCAGGAGAATCACTTGAACCTGGGAGGCAGGGGTTGCAGTGAGCCAAGATCACCACTGCACTCGAGCCTGGCTGACAAAGTGAGATTCCGTCTCAAAAAAAAAAAAAAGAGTTGATATAAGAAATAGCGATATAGACCGGATGCAGTGGCTCCTGCCTGTAATCACAGCACTTTGGAAGGCTAAGGCAGCCAGACCATATATGTCCAAAAGGTCAAGACCAGACTGGGCAATATAATGAGACTCCATCTCTATAAAAAGTCAAAAAAAATTAGCCAAGCATGGTGGCATAGTCTGTAGTCCCAGGTACTCAGGAGGATGAGGTGGGAGAATCACCTGAGCCCAGGAGGTTGAGGCTGCAGTGAGCTGTAATCATGCTACTGCACTCCAGCCTGGGTGACCGAGTGAGACCCTGTCTCAAAAAAAAAAAATTAAAACACATGTGATTTTTTTTTCAAAGAAAGGAAGAAAGAAAGATATCTGTGGTAGGCAGAATAATGGTCTCCCAAAGATGTCCACATCCTAATCCCTGGAACCTGTGAATTTGTTACCTTACATGGCAAAAGGGGAATTAAGGTTGCAGATGGAATTAAGATTGTTAATCAGCTGACCTTAAAATAGAGAGACTCTCTGGATTATATTTTTAGGCCCAATGTAATTCCCAGGGTCCTTAAAAGTGGAAAAGGATGGGGCAGAAAAGAGGAGACAAGGCGATGTGAGCATGGAAAGAAGACAGAATGACGCAGCAGTGCTAGCTTTGAAGATGGAGAAGGGGCCACCAGCCAAGGAATGTGGGCGGCCTGCAGAAGCTGGTAGCTCTCCCCTGGAGCCATGAGAAGGAATACAGCCTTCAAAGTGCCAACACCATACTTAGCCCAGTATGACCCATTTCAAACTTCCAACCTCCAGAACTGTAAAAGAGTGAATTTGTGTGGTTTTTCTCTGCTATTACTGTGGTAATTTATTACAACTGCAGTAGAGAGCTAGTGCAAAAACCTTCAGGTGGGGTAAAACAGCACAGGCTTGATTGACTCACGGGTTCACTTCAATAATACAGAAAATTGCCCAAGGCAAACATTGAGTTGTGTGCCCTGCTGGGAATAAGGTAGGGAGGCATCGAGATGAAAGTTGTGCCTGGTGCCCACCATGGTAGGTAAGGGATGTGCAGAAAGAGGAGAGAGAGAGAGAGAAAGGGACTTTGAGTTCTACTTTGGCCAAAAATACCGCAGTGAGGGTCTGTTTCATCCTTTTTCTCCCATCTCAGAGCCATGGAGACTACTGCTAGTCTCACCCACATCCTGGATTCTGTTTCAGTACCTTTTCTGCAGTGATAAATGTGCAGAGGCTTAGCGGAACCTCAGCCAAAGCTATAAACTTCAACCGGCCACAAGAGTGTGCATGTGAGGTGACTGCATTTTTTTTCCTGCCAAACCAGAATTAGCCGGTATAGGAATGAACGAGCATGAAGATTTGAAATTGCTCCGATTGGAAGGAAGCCCAGGTTAGGTTTGGGCACCTCCAAACGCACCCTTTTTAAAGCCACCTGGACTAAGGCGTCGAGCTTTCAGCTCCACCAAACGCTCACCTGGCCTGGCGACGAGCAGCGGAGAAGCCCGGGAGCCCCGCACGGAGCGCACGGAGCCGGGCGGAGAGCTGAGCCGCAGGCACCCGCATCTCCAGGATGATAGGCGACATTGCAACAAATCTGTCCACCCAGCAGCTCAGGGGGTTTCGAGCAGACCAGCAAGTTGGAGGATCCGGGCGTGGAGGCGAGTGAGGCCGCAGCCCAGAGGGCCTCGGGCGGTGAGTTTCTGAGGCCGCGCGCGCCTCAGGCCCGGGGGATGGAGCGGCACGGGGGGCATCGGAGCTGGGGCTTCGGTTGGCCGCTGCATCCCGGGGACCCTCAGGAAGTGGCGGCCCCAGCCCAGGGCAGGCTCGGGGAAGGCGAGGCTGTGCCGGGGCTGGTGGTCGTGCCAAGGCCGCCGCGGGGTCTCGGGAGCTGCGGGCGGGCGGGCGGGGTAACCGGCGGTTCAGGGCCGCCCGCCAGGCGGAGCGTGGGGACGCGCGCTAGCTGCTCTTGGCCGCCGGGGCCCCTCGCGCGTCATCCAAAGCACCGCCGTCCGGCTGGAGAGGCGCGCTCTGCCCGCGTTCAGCTTCGCTGGCCCGCTGTGCTCCAGGCCCGTTTGGGACTCAAACTGGATAGTGATGAGGCAGAGCCAGGGGCCGGGGGCTGCGCCTGGGGACATCTAGGGTGCGGATGCGTCTCCGCGCGGGCTGTGGGGCTGCAGGCTTTCGAACGCGCGGAGGGATGCGGGATTCCAGAGGCGGGGATGGGGGCTTGGGGTGCACAGGGAGGGGGAGCAGCAAGCGCGGGAGGGGACGGGCGCTCGGAGGGTGGGGCGCGGAGGCCAGACCCCGCGGGCAAGATCCGGCGCCCAGGCTGGGCCCCCTTAGCGCGTCCGATCGAGGCTTCTCTGGAGAAGCTGAAACCGGGCGAGGGACCGGGGACGGCCATTTCGGGGCTAAACGCTGCCAAGGCCATGATGACGTTTTACGAGCTCAACTCTGCTTTCCAATTAAGCCGTTTTCTTCCTGCGGAAAAGTTGATTCGGGCTTATTAACAAGCACGGCTGAGGGCAGGTTCTGAGGATTAGAGAGATTCTCTTTTGCCTTGTTTGGCTTCTTTGTTTGCGTGTACGTGCATGTGCGTGTCTGTGTGTGCGCGCGTGAGAGAGAGAGAGGAGAGGGGAGAGAGGGAGAGAGGGAGTGTTGGGGGTGGGAGGAGATAAAACAGGCTTGGGGTCCCGCGGGCCTGGGTTCCAATTTGGGTTTCACCGCCCGCTAGTTTAACCTCTCCAAGCTTCATTACTCCCATTCGATGGTTCAGTTTCTTCATCTGTAAAATGGGGACATTAATGCCAGTTGAACGGGATCGTGTTGGAGAAGCCACCAAGCACAGTCCCTGACCCAGAGCAAAGCATGTCTACGTTGAATCCCCCTCATTCGGCGTGAACCCCACTGGGTTCTGTTTTTCTCCTGTGCGGTCTCTGCACCGGCTCAGCCAGCTCCCAGCCTTCGCCGCCGCAGCCTCTTCAGCCTGCTGGCCGCAAGCACACCCTCTAAGGGCCCCAAATACCCTGAGCACTACCAGGTGGAGAGCGCCGACGAGCCTGCAGAGCCCACTTAAGGTGAACCCGCACTCACCTGCATGGGTTGCAGAGCTGCTACCACCGCGCTCTGCCCACCTCTGGGGGAGACTGTAATTTTAATTTTAGCTTGGTGCTTCCCGCTTTCCTTTTTATGGGTAATGAGCTCACCACATGCAATGTAATGGCAATAGCCAAATTAAAAATGAATGACTTGGCCGTGCGCCGTGGCTGACGCCTGTAATCCCAGCACTTTGGCAAGCCGAGGCTGGTGGATCATCTAAGGTCAGGAATTCGAGACCATCCTGGCTAACATGGCGAAACCCTGTCTCTACTAAAAATACAAAAATTCGCCGGCTGCGGTGGCACGCACCTGTAGTCCCAGCTACATGGGAGGCGAGGCAGGAGAATCGCTTGAACCCGGGAGACAGAGGGTGCAATGAGCCGACATCTCGCCACTGCACTCCAGCCTGGGCGACAAAGGGATACTCTGTATATAAAAAAAAAAACACACACACACTTTAAAACTTTCTACACAGCTATAGAAAATTTAATTTTGTTCTAATATCTGATATACCCTAGAAGGATCTGTTATTTTCATTCTGCCTATTATCACATAAATATGTAGCTGACCCAGTTTTATAGCCTACATATGTTACCTCCATTTACAATATTTTTTTCATCATCTATGAATTCATTTGGGGAGAATGGAAGGTTGATGTTGTCCCCGTAATCTTCCCATTTTCTTGCTTCACCTTCTTCAGAAGGAGGCCCTAATGTCTTTTTGCCAAGCTTCCAATGCAAGCTTGCTTAGACTGGGTTACCTTTTGCTTTTTTTTTTCTTGAGGCAGAGTCTCGCTCTGCAGCCCAGGCTGGAGTGCAGTGGCATGATCTCAGCTCACTGCACCCTCCATCTTCCAGGTTCAAGCGATTCTCCTGCCTCAGCCTCCCGAGTAGCTTGGACTATAGATGCGCACCACACATCACCTAATTTTTGTCTTTTTAGTAGAGAAGGGGTTTCACCATGTTGGCCAGGCTTGTGTTGTACTCCTGACCTCAAGTGATCCACCCACCTCAGCCTCCCAAATTGCTGGGATTGCAGGCATGAGCCACGGCACTAGGCCACATTCTACATATTAATCCTTAGCAGAAGCCCCACATTCACTGCCTCAGTGTACCACATGCATATGGTCATTTTACATGTATGTCAGGATGTAGAAAAGGTAAGGGAGTGCGACGGCCCTGTGGTGGACAAAGACTTGGAGCCTGGGAGTACAGATATGCCCTCTGCATTCTCTGTCTCTCCAGGTGTGGAGTGGGATCATAATACTAAAATGATCATTTTTACATCTTATATAAATGCATATATAATTATACATGTGTATAGTTATATGAGTGCTAAAAGCCACCTTGGAGTTGGAGGGATAAACATTTGTTTTTCTGTTGTCTTTTGTTTTCCTTAGCTAGTTGGACTAGAAGTTAACCATGAATAATTAAAACCGTGATTACTTTTGGAGAGATTTAAGTGTGAAATGCAAATGACTCCACGACTCAGCAGATCAACAGGGGCCTCCTGAGGATCCAGAATAACTTTTTGGGCCAGGCACACTGGCTCACACCTGTAATCCCAACACTTTGAGAGGCCAAGGCAGGTGGATCACTTGAGGTTAGGAGTTCGAGACCAGACTGATCACATGGTGAAACCCCACCTCTACAAAAACACAAAAATTATCTGGGCATGGTGGTGCACACCTGTAGTCCCAGCTACTTGGGAGGTTGAGGCAGGAGAATCACTTAAACCTAGAAGGTAGAGGTTGCAATGAGCCAAGATCATGCCACTGCACTCCAGCCTGGGCAACAGAGTGAGACTATGTCTCAAAAAAAAAAAAAAAAAAAGAACTTTTTGCCCCACTCCTGCCTGCCACCAGTGCTCTGCATTTGATACTATATTCTCCATGTACCCTTGTGCCTCCCGAATAAAACTTGTCCATTGAATGCCATTCAGTGTTACTTATTTATGAACAAACGAGAAATATCAAGAGCAGTTTGATGGCAACCTACATCTCTTAACCCAGAAATAATTCAGTAAGAATATAAAGTTCTTTGCATTGCTATAGAAAAGTGCTTAATGTTTCAACCCCTGGCTGAAATACTATAACTTTTCATTTTTTATTACTTCAGAGCCTTCCTTGGTTATAAATGAACTTCAGGAAAATGCCAAGCGTTGTCGTTTTATCATATTAAACATAGCTGAGCATTGTCCCATGGATAGCAAAATGACATTTTGATGGGCCATTCACACCTTGTGTCCAGCTGCCTGGTTCTCCTCTCTCTGGCTTCTCAGGATTCTGCACACAACAGAGCCAGAGGGAAGACAACCACCAACCATCCCTCCTGAACCCTCTCTGGGCTCATGCACTGGCCCTTTGACAGCGCAGCTCTGCCCTGTGCTGTGAGCTTTGGAGAGCAAGGGCTGCCCCATCCCTTTCTAGCCCCAAGCAGGCTCAGACAGTGGGAGGGTGACAGATACACACATCCGCAGACACACACACGTGAGCCTGAAACCCAAGACACACTGGAAGACTTCCCAATAGAGGTCATCTTGTTTTGTTTTCTCTTTTACAAGTCAGCCTCTTACACTGAAGATAAGAGGTTGATTCAGGCAACATTTAAAAGATAGACTTTTATTTTCTTATAATACAGGTAATATGTATCTATTGAGGAACTTTTTTTTTTTTTTTTTGAGACAGGGTCTCACTTTGTCTCCCAGGCTGGAGTGCAGTGGCATGATCACAGCTCACTGCAGCCTCAACCTCCCAGGCTCAAACAATTCTCCCGCCTCTGCCTCCCAGATAGCTGGGACCACAGGCATGCACCACCACATGTGCCTGGATAATTGTTTTTTATTTGTGGAGACAAGGTCTCACTGTTGCCCAGGCTGGTCTTGAACTTCTGAGCTCAAGTAATGCTCCTGCCTTGGCCTCCCAGATTGCTGGGATTACAGGAGTGAGCCACTGCACCTGGCATATTGAGGAAATTTCTCACCACTAAGATAAGTAGAAAGAAGAGGGAAATTCCTGGTAAGACCATCATCCAAAGAAAAATGTCCATCAGCATTTTTCTTTGTTTTGCTCCAGTCTTTCTTCCTGTGGGTGCATGTCTTGATAGAAACAACAAAGATTATTACATATGTCAAAAATAAAGTTGTCTAGGGCTCTTTGAAAACATAGACAGTCATACTAAAGTGTGAACTTTATTTTTGATGGCAGACTTATGTTGTCTAGCTATGCTGCAATCAATTGATTTAACAAGTATTCTGATGTTGGATAGTAAATGTGTTTTCAGGGTCTCACTATTATACATTAGCTGGATCTTGAAGGATGAGCAGAAGAGGGTGAGGAGGCTAGAAGAATGAGGAGGGGAAGGAGAGAAAATCACACACAATAGCTGAGAGAAGGTGCTGAAGGGACTCCATCCTGATAACTCAAATGGATGGAGAAATTGGCTTTTTTTTTTTCCTGAAACCGAGTTTTGCTCTTTCACCCAGCCTGGAGTGTAGTGATGTGATCTCGCCTTACTATTGCCACCTCTGCATCCCCACCAGGCTTCAAGTGATTCTCCTGCCTCCACCTCTCGCGTAGCTGAGACTTTAGGCATCTGCCACCACGCCCGACTAATTCTTGTACTTTTAGTAAAGATGGGGTTTCGCCGTGTTGGCCAGGCTGGTCTCAAACTCCTGACCTCAGGTGATCCACCTGCCTCGGCCTCCCAAAGTGCTAGGATTACAGGCCTGAACCAGGTGCGGCCTGGAAATTGGCTTCCGAGACTAACACTTTATCACTCCCAGCAATCTGGATAATGGGAGGTGGTGAGACGTGTGGATGAGGAAGGACCCAGGCCAGGAACAGCACTGCCCATAGGTGGTGTAGTGGCTCAGGATGGGAAAGCTGTTGAGGAGATGGAATAATTTAAAAGATAAAAATTATAATGAGAACAAGGTGTGACAGAAAGAAGACGAGCCCCAGACAGACCCACTAAATTGCTCCTCCACTGGTACCCATGGTTCCCTTGCACTCATTCCCCTGCACTTTTTCCCCCAAGAAACCCATCCAGTAAACCCTTAGCTAGAACCCAGTGCTCTAGTCTAGAGGGCAGCAAACTTTTCCTCTAAAGGGTCAAAGTATTTTAGTGTTTTGAGGAAAACATAGCCTTTAAAAAGGTAATCTCTACAAAAAATTTTAAAATTAGCCAGGTGTGGTGGTGCGTGCCTGTAGTACCTGCTACTTGGGAAGCTAAGGCAGAAGGATCACTTGAGCCTACTAGCTCAAAGCTGCAGTGAGCTAGGATTATGCCACTGCGCTCCAACCTGGGTGACAGAGCAAGACCCTGTCTTTAAAAAAATAAATAAACAAAGGGTAAAAACCAACAAAAAATTCTTAGCTCAGGTATGGATAGAAACAGGCTACAGGCAGTGTGCAATTCGCCACCATCTATTCCTTTCTCCTACCCGTCCATGTCAGAACACTCCTGAGAAACGCCCCACAATTCCAGACTTCTTAGTGCCTTTGACACCCAGAATGAATTGTTTTTTTACATCACCCCCCACCATGGCAACAAAATGATTTTCAGTAATAATCATGCAATGGTCAGTAATACTCATTATATTCTTATTCTTCCCTGTTAAAATAATTAAAAGAAGAATAGATTTTAATTTTGAAGATACTGGGTTGGATGCAGTGGTTCATACCTGTAATCCCAGCACTTTGGGAGGCCAAGGCAGGCGGATTGCTTGAGGTCAGGAGTTCAAGACCAGCCTGGCCCTCATGGCGAAACCCAGTCTCCACTAAAAATATATAAATTAACCAGATGTGATGGCACATGCCTGTAGTCCCAGTTACTCAGGAGGCTGAAGCATGAGAATTACTCCTACCTGGGAGGCAGAGGTTGCAGCGAGTCAAGATTACGGCCACTGCCCTCCAGCCTGGGTAATAGAGCAATACTCAGTCTCAAAAAAAAAAAGAAAGAAAGAAAAAGATATTGTTCAAATTGAATAAAACATTTCAAGTATTAATTTAAAATGTCACTTTCCAAACCAAAGTTTTGCACCTCGAAGACTTCACTGTTTCACTATTTTAAATTGTAAACTAGAATCTGTGTAAACAAGTGAGTACACAAAGTGACAGAAGTGAAGTGACTCAAGTCCTGGTTCTTTGTCTGGACAATAATTGTGCTGGCGCAGTTCACCTAGAGTGTTCTGAGAAAAACAGCAACAGGTAGCGCTGCAGGGGGTGTGGGGATGGATTTTGCCAAGCTGAGCTCCAACAGATCTGAACTCTTAGGCGCCTCCTCTCCAGACTAATGTGTGTAGCTGGGGCCACACGTGCCAGGGTCAACTGTAAAACCAGGCATTCTTGAAATAACTTCCATGTAGAATACAATGTTTACAAAAAGATGAGACATTAAAACAGGCTAATTTGAAACATACATATACATAATTAAAGCTCAACATAATTGCTATAACTTAGATCAGCTGATCATTTTTTCAGTGTAATTGTCTAGAATTGCTGGCATGTAGTGATGATTTAGAAAGCAGACCAACTTTTAGTTGTTTATTGTTTTTGAGTCCCCCAGCTTATTGTAAGCTCTGGGGCCAAGTGCTCCCTGGCTCTGTCCTGGGTGCTCCATGGCCCATAGCTAGACAGTGGAGCCCTGCAGGGCTCAACTTGACCTTTGGAGCTGCCCAGCAATCATTTCCACTTGTCGTAGGCAACAGTCTCTTCCATTATCCTGAGCATTAAGGCTCCTACACAATCTCCGCCCTCCTTATTCTCAGCCAGTGACCTAAATTCCTGCTTCAGCAAAGAAATTAAACCATCAGAGCCGAGCACCCCAGCACTTTCGGTGGCCAAGGCAAGTGGATCATGAGGTCAGGAGTTCAAGACCAGCCTGACCAATATGGTGAAACCCCGTCTCTACTAAAAATACAAAAATTAGCTAGGCATGGTGACAAGTGCCTGTAGTCCCAGCTACTTGGGAGGCTGAGGCAGGAGAATCACTTGAACCCGGGAGGCAGAGGGTGCAGTGAGCTGAGATGGCACCACTGCACTCCAGCCTGGGAAACAGAGTGAGACTGTGTCTCAAAAAAAAAGAAAGAAAGAAATTAAACCATCAGATGTGACTTACCATTCCCACTGCTTACCATCATAGGTCCATCTACCCCCTCCTTCCCCCAGACTCAGAGAGTGGGTCTCTCTCCATAATCAAGACCAATCTGTTTCACCATCTCCAGGATTAGACATCATCATCATCATATCTCTCTCTCTCTCCCCCCCCAACTCCTGCTCCTTATCCCCAGTCTTTATACACCCACTTAATTCCCCCCCCCCCCCCCCCAAAAAAATGAAAAATGAAACAGGTCAGTCACAGTGGCTCACACCTGTAATACCAGCATTTTGGGAGGCTGAGGCAGGAGGATCACTTGAAGCCAGGAGTTGAAGACCAGCCTGGGCAACATAGTGAGACCCTGTCTCTACAAAAAAAATAAATAAATGTATAGGAAAATTAGCCAAGCATGATGGCATGTACCTATAGTCCCAGTATTCAGGAGGCGGAAGTGGGAGATCTTTTGAGCCCAGGAGTTCAAGGCTGCAGTGAGCTATGATCACACCACTGTACTCCAGCCTGGGTGACAGATGGAGATTCTGTCTAAAAAAAAAAAAGCCACTTTCTTTTTTTTTTTTTTTTTTTTTTTGGGGGGGGGTTTTACTCTTTTTTCCCCGGCTGGGGTGCAATGGCGCAATCTCAGCTCACCGCAACCTCTGTCTCCTGGGTTCAGGCAATTCTCCTGCCTCAACCTCCTCAGTAACTGGGATTACAGGCACGCGCCACCATGCCCAGCTAATGTTTTGTATTTTTAGTAGAGACAGGGTTTCACCATGTTGACCAGGATGGTCTCGATCTCTTGACCTCGTGATCCACCCGCCTCGGCCTCCCAAAGTGCTGGGATTACAGCACTTTGAGCCACCGCGCCCGGCCAACCCACTTTCTTATCTAGCATCCTCTAGCTCCCTCTAGTCTCCCTCCTCTCATTCAAACCTCTTGAGAAATGGATCTATGCAAAGTACCATGGCATTATGTCTCCTCATGATGTCAATTCAGCCAATGGCTGTTCATTATGTACAAAATAAACTACAAGCTCCTTATTTGGCTCACAAGGGCCCCGCATGATCTAGCCCCTGCCTACCTGGTAACCTCACCTGGTGACCTGTATGTCACCATAGTATCTATCCAAACTCCTTTAGTCTGATACCTTATTCTTGAAGTAATTTTCCAGTAACTAAGTTCTCCATATAAATACGAGGAATGGGGATAGGTGGAGTAGGGTAAAATATGTGTCTTGTATAATGAGACATAAGCACCACCATTATTAGAAAGCTATATCTTTCATTGTAATCAATTGGCCTTATCAGTCTCTCCTGAGTTGGGTTAGTGTGAGTCAGACCCTGCTCAGGCTAATCCACTCTGGCTGCACTGAACAAATTAACACTTGCACCTGCAAAAACTGAGCACCAGATCCTCTGCTAGGGACCCCACCAAGGGGAAGCTACCCTGAAAGATCTGGCCTGAGGCCAGATCTTCCTTCTCTGACATCTTTCTGGTCACCTGTCAGTATCCATCTCTGTAAGTGAGACAGGTTATGAGCTTTGGAATCGGAACTAACAGGTCAAATCCTAGTTTCCTTACAAAAGCACCTTGCTTCTCAGAGTCCATTCCCAAGATTGGAATACCTACCTGTGTGATGACTGTGAGATGAAACATAAAAGCACTTGACCCTGGGAAGTGGTAAGGAGTGTTCGAAAATACGTAGGGTGACAAAGATTAACCTGAAGATCAGATGTGGTACTGGAGCCACTGTGACCACGATGGGAAGGTAGAGGTCTACAAAGAAGATGAAGATGTTTTTCATGTTGATGTTCCATGAAATTATTTATTTATGTGTATTTCAGAAAAATCTTGGAAAATGTATACCAGTCATGAAGATATTGGGTATGATTTTGAAGATGGCCCCAAAGATAAAAAGACACTTAAGCCCCACCCAAACATTGATGGCGGATGGGCTTGGATGATGGTGCTCTCCTCTTTCTTTGTGCACATCCTCATCATGGGCTCCCAGATGGCCCTGGGTGTCCTCAACGTGGAATGGCTGGAAGAATTCCACCAGAGCCGCGGCCTGACCGCGTGGGTCAGCTCCCTCAGCATGGGCATCACCTTGATAGTGGGTATGTTCAGGTGTGACCTGTTGTAAAATTGAATAATTACCAAATGACAATTCCCTGCTGAAAGTAATGTTTTATATTGTTGCAACATTTGATATTGGATGTTACTAGCTACTATTTTTTAATTGCGATAAAATATACATAAAATTTACCATTTTAGCCTGGGCACGGTGGCTTATGCCTGTAATCTCAGAACTATGGGAAACCAAGGTGGGTGGATTCCTTGAGGTTAGATGTTTGAAACCAGTCTGGCCAACATGGCAAAACCCCACCTCTACTAAAACTAACAAAATTAGCTGGGTTTGGTGGCATGTGCCTGTAATCCCAGCTACCTGGGAAGCTGAGGCTGGAGAATCACTTGAACCTGGGAGGTGGAGTTTGCAGTGAGCCAAGATCATGCAATTGCACTCCAACCTGGGAGACAGAGCAAGACTTCCTTTCAAAAAAAACGTTTTACCATTTTAAGCATTTGAGTCCCATTAAGCACGTTCGTATTGTTGCAAAACTATCACCACCATCAATCTCCAGAAATTTTTTTCATCTTCCCAAATGGAAACTGTATTCAATAAGCACAAACTCCCCATTCCCATCTTCTTCCCCGTTGGCCATTATCATTCTACCTTGTGCCTCTATGAATTTGACTATTCTAGGTACCTAATGTAAGTGAAATCATACAATGTTTGTCCTCTTGTCTCTTGCGTGATATAACAATTTAAATATTTTAAACATTTGGGGTATTTTAAAAATTGATCATTTTGACTGATCCGATGGTAGTGGATTATCAGAACTTATTAACATTAGTGTCACTAAAGTTGGTATACAACCCCCCACTGCTAAATTTAACTGGTTTTAAAAAAAATTGATCATTTAAAAAATTTTATTTAGCTCCAAACTCTGCCTATTATAATTCATTATCTACAATTATAAATATCTGCTTATTTAACATTTATGAATATTTTTAAAGATAAAAATTTTAAATAAAATACTATAAAAGCCAGTAACAATCTCATTTCAGAGTTCTGGTTTGTTTTTTTTTTTGAGACAGAGTCTTAGTCTGTCACCCAGGCTGGAGCACAGTGACACAATCTGGGCTTCCTGCAACCTCTGCCATCCAGGTTCATGTGATTCTCCTGCATCTGCCTCCCGAGTAGCTGGGACTACAAGCACCACCACCATGCCCGGCTAATTTTTTGTACTTTTAATAGTGACGAGGTTTCACCATGTTGGGAAGAGTGGTCTCAAACTCCTGACCTCAAGTGATCTGTCCATATTAGCCTCCCAAAGTGCTGGGATTACAGGTGTGAGCCACCATGCCCAGCCTGAGTTCTGATGTTTTTAATTTGAAATATTATTGAAAAATCTTCTAAACTGTTTCTAGAAAGCTTACTGATATATAGCTAACAGAAAGGAATAACAATAGTTTCTTTTGAAATGGGGTTTTTCCATGTTGTCCAGGCTCCTGTCTCTGACTCCTGGCCTCAAGAGATCTGCCCGCCTTGGCTTCCCAAAGTGCTGGGATTACAGGCAGGAGCCACTGCACCAGCTGCATTTACTTTAAAAAATATTTTTAACCTGGGAGCATAAACTCAAGTTTCCCTGAATATACAGTCCCTATTCTTGTATTTTCTAGTTAAACCTAACCGCACAGCAATCTATGAAGTCAAGTCTTATACAGCTGAGATATTAAGCCTGGGAAGTTATTATAAATATAATGATATGATGGCTAGTATGTTTCAGTTTGAGAATAAAATAACTCAGGCCGGGCGCGGTGGCTCAAGCCTGTAATCCCAGCACTTTGGGAGGCCGAGGCGGGTGGATCACGAGGTCAAGAGATCAAGACCATCCTGGTCAACATGGTGAAACCCCGTCTCTACTAAAAATACAAAAATTAGCTGGGCATGGTGGCGCACGCCTGTAGTCCCAGCTACTCGGGAGGCTGAGGCAGGAGAATTGCCTGAACCCAGGAGGCGGAGGTTGCGGTGAGCCGAGATCGCGCCATTGCACTCCAGCCTGGGTAACGAGCGAAACTCCGTCTCAAAAAAAAAAAAAAAAAAAAAAAGAGAATAAAATAACTCTTACATGCTTACTAAATATTAATTGACAGTATGATATACTAGGGTTTTCCCTGACATTATCTCATTTATTTCCTTCTCTTAACAATGCTGAGGTAACCATCACTATGAAGTTTTTCAGCTGTTTCGCTTGAAAATGAAAGCCATATATTTATATCTAATTGTTTGAATTTAAAATATTTATAATATATTTTATACTGAAAACATAAATGGCCTCTAATCTTTTTTGTGCGAGTATGCATACAACAGGCCAATGTGTGTCTGATTGGAATCTGTGCCTTTTCAGTGATTCCCAATTAGTAATGAACTGCTTGAATCCAATTCAGAGACTTGTTGATCTTGGCTGGCATTCAACTCTTCTTTTTTTTTTTTTTTTTTTTTTTTTTTTTTTTTTAACTTTTTTTAGAGACAGGGTCTGCTTCTGTTGCCCAGGGTGGAGTGCAGTGGCATGATCATAGCTCACTGCAGCCTTGAACAACTGGACTCAAGCAATCCTCCCACCTCAGCTTCCTGGGTAGCTAAAGGCATATGCTACCACGCCAAGCAATTTTTAAAAACTTTTTTGTAGAGATGGGGCCTTGCTATATTGCCCAGGTTGATCTCAAACTCCTGGCTTTAAGGGACCCTCCTGTCTCAGCCTCCCAAAGTGCTGGGATTACAGGTGTGAGCCATTCCACCCAGCAGTGTTATTTTTGATAATACAAACAATAAGAAGGCCAGGCATGGTGGCTCACACCTATAATCCCAGCACTTTGGGAGACTGAGGCAGGAGGATCACCTGAAGTCAGGAATTTGAGACCACCCTGGCCAGCATGGTGAAGCCACATCTTTACTAAAAATACTTAGCCAGACATGGTGGCGAATGCCTGTAGTCCCAGCTACTCTGGAGGCTGAGGTAGGAGAATCGCCTGAAATCAGGAGGCAGAGGTTGCAGTGAGCCGAGATAGAGCCACTGTACTCCAGCCTGAGCAACAGAATGAGACTCTGTCTCAAAAAAAAAAAAAAAAAAAAGTTATAACAATGGTAGTCCTAATGATAGAAAACAAGGAGAAAGTTATTTCTCAAGTTGTGTGGCATATATGTGTGTGCATTTGTGTATGTTTACCAAAGGGAATTAATACTGATAGTTTTAAAATTAAATAAAGTCACCATTATGTATGTCAGAAAATTATTGATACATCTTTTTTTGTCTGTAGCATTATTGAACTGACTTCAAATCTGCATTTTTTTATTACACTAGGACTGTTTGTCAGATGAAACATGCAGGTAGGTTTATTTCAGTGTCAGGCATGTTCAAGTTTACATCAGTTGTAATTCTTTCTCAATAAGTTAGTAAAGGACAACTGTGTTTCCAGAACACTTAAAATCCACCTTTCTTTCTTTTTTAAAAATATATACATTATTGGCCGGACGTGGTGGCTCACGCCTATAATCCCAACACTTTCGGAGGCCGAGGCGGGTGGATCACGAGGTCAAGAGATTGAGACCATCCTGGTCAACATGGTGAAACCCCGTCTCTACTAAAAATCCAAAAATTAGCTGGGCATGGTGGCGCATGCCTGTAGTCCCAGCTACTCAGGAGGCTGAGGCGGGAGAATTGCTTGAACCCAGGAGGTGGAGGTTGCAGTGAGCCGAGATTGCCATTGCACTCCAGCCTGGGTAACAAGAGCGAAACTCCGTCTCAAAAAATATATATATATACACATATATATGTGTGTGTATATATATATATATACACACATATATATGTGTGTGTATATATATATATATATACATATATATGTGTGTGTATATATATATTTTCTCAAAGGAGGTGATTATAAAAATATATATTTTTAAGGGGTAAAACAAAACACATGTAGATTTAATCTTGGAAGTATATGCACACAATAACATTAAAAAAAAAAGGACAGCTGGGCGTGGTGGCTCATGCCTGTAATCTCAGCTCTTTGGGAGGCTGAGGCGGGCAGATCATGAGGTCACGAGATTGAGACCATCCTGGCCAACATGGTGAAACCCTGTTCCTACTAAAATACAAAAAATTAGCCAGGTGTGGCGGGATGCGCCTGTAGTTCCAGCTACTCAGTAGGCTGAGGCAGGGGAATCACTTGAACCTGGGAGGTGAAGGTTGCAGTGAGCTGAGATTGTGCCACTGTACTGAAGCCTGGTGACAGAGCAAGACTCTGACTCAAAAAAAAAAAAAAAAAAAAAAATTCAGAAGAAGGAAGGCCAGGATTTGAAATTTCCCAATATTTTCCAATTATCCAATAAGTTAGCTTTAGACATTATGTTTCATAAGTCCTATGAAAGGAAGCAACAGCAACCAGTCCTGAAATTATTAGATGTGGTTTTAAAAATGATCCCCGAAATAGAACCCCTAACTCATGGTGAAATGTGATGGTCATATTTTATTTAATTGAGAGGTAACTGTGTGTTCAGAATTTTGTTTGAGAGTCCCTGAATTCCAGACTGTGGAATTTCAGATTTTAGACTAATCTTTCTACAGGGAAAGCTGCCTGCCAGATAAACATTTTTTGCTCTGAGTCTCAGAAATCATAACACAGCAGGCCTCATAGTTATATAAATGAAAGGTCTTTTATTCTATCTATTTACCTCAAATTACTGTTCATTATCCTAAGCTTCCTGGTACAGGGTGGCTGCAGATTTGTTGAGCAACCTCAGGGAGCCTTTCCAAGCCACACACTAGCAGTAACAGCTTTCCTTTATTCAGCACTTACTGCATGCCAAATGCATGTTCATGTAGGTGATCTCCTTCGATCCTGCAACACTGGAGGTCAGACCATTGTCGGTATCTTACAGAGGAAGAATATGCAACGCTCAGAGACATTAAGTAACTTATTGAAGGTTAAATAGCCAATAAGTGTAGGACTGGCTTTAAACCTGGTCCATGGGACTCCCAAACTGAGTCAGCTATGACACTTGGCCTGCCATTACATCAAATGAGAACGAAAAACATACTTGAAATGAGTAATACAAATTGTTTCTACATTCTAATCATTGTAAGCACATTTTGGCTACCTCTTAAATTTAAAAATATCCATTTGTTGTTGTTCTTGTTTGAGGGTCTCACTGTCTTGCCCAGGCTGGATTGCAGTGGTGCGATCTCAACTCCCTGCAACCTCCACATCCTGGTTTCAAGCAGTTCTCTTGCCTCAGCCTCCTGAGTGGCTGGGACTGCAGGTGTGCACCACCACGCCTGGCTAATTTTTGTATATTTAGTAGAGACGGGGTTTCACCATGTTGGCCAGACTGGTCTCAAATTCCTGACCTCAAGTGATCTGCCTGCCTCAGCCTCCCAAAGTGCTGAGATTACAGGCATGAGCCACTGCACCCAGCTAAAAAATCCATGATTTATATGACTGTAGTTGAAATTTTTCTCTCTTGGGCAGTGGTTTGCATATGGCAAGTTCAATGAATAGGCATTGTTTTCTTCTTTACTAGCGTGGATTTGCCACTGTCCTTCAGAAGCTCTCAACTTTAAAAAAAAATGTAATCACCTTATTTGTATTGTAAACCAAAAAATATCTGAGACTGGTCTCAGCCAATCCAGAAGTTTATTTTGCCAAGGTTAGAGACATGTCCGAAAGAAATAAACACAGAATCACAGAAACAGTCTGTTATCTGTGCCTTTCTCCAAAGATGATTTTGAGGACTTCAATATTTAAAGAGGGAAAGTGGTCTGGGAGGCTATGGGAGGGTACAGTAATCCACATGTTGCAAGAGAAAAGGTGCAGGTAAGGGAATAGTCAATTTTGTATTCACCTAACAGTAAATCGGCACTTTTATATAACACGAGGTGAACATAGAGTAGCTACCTATGGCACTATATAACCCTCTCTCTGTAGCTATCTGCTTAGTAACAAAAGGAAAGGCAGTTGCTTGCATGACTCAGCTTTCGGTGTATTTTTTTTTTCTTTTGGCATAGTGAATTGGGGTTCCAAGTTTGTATTTTCCTTTCACAGTGTCTGCAGCAGGCTTTGTAATGATAGCTCTTGGAATAATCCTTGGTGGATGCCCTATTGTTGGCGGAATCCACCTGCTACACAAGATAATTTACTTTCTAAATCAACTTAGAGCAGTGATTGTCAAACCTGACTGCACATCAGATCCACCTGGGGAGCTTTACCCTCCCCCACCTCAGGCTGTACCTGGGATGGACTCCAAGTATCAGGATATTTTTAAAGCTCCCAATCGACACCACTGTTCAGCTAAAACAAGCAGTCATTGATTTAGAGGCTCCTAACCCCTTACTACGGCGAGGGGTTACCCTAAGAGACCTGGAGTCCAAAGAATTACCTGCTTCCATCCCTGAGCGCTGCCAAGGCTCACCTGTGATTGCTCCTCTCTTCACCAGCGTTTTTTCCAACGTATCAGCTGCCAGGATGGGTAAATAAAACATAACCTCCTGAGGCTGTTCCCCACAACAATGGGACATGTATTACAGTGGGAAATTGTCCAAGATTCAGATTCCTTCTGAAAAGGGAAAAGTAGGATCATGTGAATAATCTCATCCCCAAACACTGAATTCCTCCATAAAAGTGTGACTCATGGTCAAAGGACTGGATCTCAATTGTATGATTCTCCCTTCTCCTTAGATTGTGTGGGGACTTTTTATTTTCCTGAAATAGTGGTTTGATTTTAGCAATGCTAGTGGACCATCAGTAAACAATGGGTAGAAAATGAAACTGAGCTGGCGCAGTGGCTCACACCTGTAATACCAGCACTTTTGGAGGCTGAGGCGGGTGGCTCACCTGAGGTCAGGAGTTCAAGACCAGTCTGGCCAAGATGGTGAAACCCGTCTCTACTAAAAATATGAAATACTAGCTGGGCATGGTGCCAAATGCCTGTAATCCCAACTACTCAGGAGGCTGAGGCAAGAGAATCACCTGAACCTTGGAGGTGGATGTTGCAGTGAGCTGAGATCGCACCATTGCACTCCAGCCTGGGCAATAAGAGCGAAACTTGGTCTCAAAAAAAAAAAAAAAAGGAGAAAAGAAAAAAACAAAGAAAGAAATGAAACTGAGAGTCAAAAAGCTTGGGTGTTTTTTTTTTAAAGTACATATATTTTATAACCATAGAGAAGTCACAGCAGTTCTGTGTCTCCCTTTGCTCATCAACAAATCATAAATGACTGAAGCCCCAGCTTGCAAGAGCTGATTAAGTTGATACCAGTGTCTGGCTGCTTAATGTTTTTAGCACTTTTTTGTTTATTAATAAAATTCCTCCAGGCATGAATATTTGCACTGAGTTTGGAATTTTCTCTTTTTTTCTTTCCCCCTCAAATGCCTTCTTAATGCAATGATTCATAAAGTACCTCAGATAAACTTGCTTCTGGGCCCTTTCTGTGAAGTGGAAAATATGATTGTGCTACTGAACTGTGATCTGTTGACCTTTCAAAGGGCTACTAACAGCAAACTAACAACTCATGCATTTTTCTCTTTTTCTCCTACTTGTCCAAGCTAGCCATAGTCAAGTAACTGTGGGTTTAGAAAAACAAAAATAAAAATGTGTAAAGAAATCAAATAAAAATGTGTAAAGAAATCAAATAAATATCTTTAACTTACAGAATGTGAATTTCAGTTAACCCCAGTAATTCCATCAGATTTTTTATCAATGCATTTATATTATATATTATTTCTATAATGTGCATATTTAATAACAAATATTTATATAAAGTATGTTTAATATATTAAGTCTATTCTAAGAGGTTAATTTACTGAATTATTTTCTGTAATGCAACAGAGCAAATTAATAAGTCTTTACCTTTATAGTTTTTAGAATTAGGCACCCACAAAACTACTAGACAAAATAAACTCATTAGCAGACTGTACCCAAATATAGATATGAACATAGTTAGAACTTTAAAGAAAAATTTAAGCTAAAAGGGAAATTCTTTAAACAAGTTTTTTACATAGTCCATCTGCATATAAGGTTTCATAACTTTGCAAAGCAATAATGATTAAAAATAAGATGATAATTAAAATATGCCATCTTACTGAATAATCTGGATTCCTATTTGAACAAGGAATCATTGATCACAAGTTAAGTATTCAGCTTCAGTGACATCAGAAATTCAGGAAAAAACAAAGGTTGACTATTAAGAACTAGAAAGCCAGATGCTGTGGCTTAAGCCTGTAATCTCAGCACTTTGGGAGGCCAAGGTAGGCAGATAGCTTGAGCCTAGAAATTCGAGACCAGCCTGAATAACATGGAAAAACCCTATCTCTATAAAAAATACAAAATTAGCCAGACACGATAGCACAAGCCTGGAGGCCCAGCTACTTGGGAGGCTGAGATGGGAGGATCACTTGACGCTGGGGAGGTCAAGCCTGCAGTGAGCCATGATCACACCACTGAACTCTAGCCTGGGTGACACAGTAAGACTCTGTATCAAAACAAAAAATAAGAAAACAAAACAAAACTAGAAAGTTAGCCGAAACAGTCAGAATGTATCTCATATAATACTGTACTGCTCTAAGTGTGGTCACACACACACACACACACACACACACACACACACACACACATATATATATATATATATATACGTATATATTTTGGAGATAGAGTTTCACTCTTGTTGCCCAGGCTGGAGTGCAGTGGAACGATCTCAGCTCACCACAACCTCCACCTCCTGGGTTCAATCGATTCTCCTGTGTCAGCCTCCTGAGTAGCTGGGATTATAGGCATGTGCCACCATGCCCAGCTAATTTTGTATTTTTAGTAGAGATGGGGTTTCTCCATGTTGGTCATGCTGGTCTTGAACTCCCAACCTCAAGTGATCCACCTGCCTTGGCCTCCCAAAGTGCTGGGATTACAGGTGTGAGCCACCAGGTCCGGCCATGTTATTGCATCTTAATACAACGGAAAGGGATTCCTGAATCTCCAGAGTGTCACAAATGCATAGCCTAATAGGTCTGGTCAGATACTGCGCACGTCAGCAGGGATGGGAGTTCGTATGAAGTGATGACAACCAGTTCTCTTCAGCTTGGTTTCAATCTGGGTATCTTCGTGAAAACAGGCTATTAGTTTTCTGCCTGAAGCACAGGAGTTCTGAAGACTCCCTTCCTGTACTCCCTTTTGGTCTGGAGTCAAAAACTGAAATTTTTTTATTTTGAAGGAGGCCAGAGAAATAATGTAAGTGAGGCCAGTCCTAAGACAAGAGGGAGCGATAGAAACTGTAGCAAACTGGAAAGGGTGAGTCCCAAACGGCCTCAGCCGCTGCACAGCTCCAACTTTGGTCCTGTGGGAAGACAGTCTGTGTTGCCACCGGACTTTTTGTGAATCCTCTTAATTTTTAAACATCGGCAGCTAATCCCAGGCATTTTTTAGACTTTGTATTGGATCGATAGGCTAGAGACAGCTCCTAGACCACTGTTTTGGTTGTAGACAAAAGAATGAATGTCTGTTTATTTCAGGTCTGCCTTTCTTGAAAACCTAGAACCTTGTGCTCTCTGAAGAATTATTTAAAAGCATCTTTGCATACTAAAACTATTTGGCATATAAAGCAATTGTGGCTTTCTGTTTTATTTAACAGCTCTAGTAATGTTTTATTCTTTGTCTTCACATGAAGATTTATAAGAAAGAATGAAACTGAAGCACCATTAATCAATTCCTTTTCCAATGCTCCGTGACAGGCCCTTTCATCGGCTTGTTCATTAACACCTGTGGGTGCCGCCAGACTGCGATCATTGGAGGGCTCGTCAACTCCCTGGGCTGGGTGTTGAGTGCCTATGCCGCAAACGTGCATTATCTCTTCATTACTTTCGGAGTGGCAGCTGGTAAGCATGTGGCTTTTTTAAAACTCGATTTTAAATGTTTTATAGGACATCTTGGCAATGGATTTAATTGTGGAGAAGAGAGACACATGAAAACATTCTGCTCTGTTTCTTCCACCCCACTTTACCCTAACCCCCTACACTCCAGGAAATACCGTTTAACATTACATTTTAATATGCTTTAAGTGGGGGAAGCCCACCTAACAAAAAACGACACTTGACCTGCCTCATAGAATCAAATTACATTTCCATGTCTGGTTCTTTTTTTTTTTTTTGACGGAGTTTCACTCTTGCTACCCAGGCTGGAGTGCAATGGCGCGATCTCGACTCACCGCAACCTCCGCCTCCTGGGTTCAGGCAATTCTCCTGCCTCAGCCTCCTGAGTAGCTGGGATTACAGGCACGAGCCACCATGCCCAGCTAATGTTTTTGTATTTTTAGTAGAGATGGGGTTTCACCATGCTGACCAGGATGGTCTCAATCTCTTGACCTCGTGATCCACCCGCCTCGGCCTCCCAAAGTGCTGGGATTACAGGCTTGAACCACCGCGCCCGGCTCCATGTCTGGTTCTAAATGCCAGTACTATCTCCAGGGGGAGTGGGAAAAGGAAGGCAGTAATGCTGACTTAGGTGAACGGACCGAAGATTAAGGAAATTACATTGGTGTGGTGTGGGAAATAAGCTAAACAATAGGCCAGGCGCGGTAGCTCATTCCTGTAATCCCAACACTTTGGAAGGTCAATCACTTGAGGTCAAGAGTTCAAGACCAGCCTGGCCAACATGGTGAAACCCTCCCTCTACTAAAAACACAAAAAAATTAACCAGGTATGGTGGCACATGCCTGTAATCCCAGCTCCTTACCAGGCTTAGATATGAGAATAGTTTTTTGGTTTTTTTTTTGTTTTTTTTTTTAGGGGGGACAGAGTTTCGCTCTTGTTACCCAGGCTGGAGTGCAATGGCGCGATCTCGGCTCACCGCAACCTCCACCTCCTGGGTTCAGGCAATTCTCCTGCCTCAGCCTCCTGAGTAGCTGGGATTACAGGCACGCGCCACCATGCCCAGCTAATTTTTTGTATTTTTAGTAGAGACGGGGTTTCACCGTGCTGACCAGGATGGTCTCGATCTCTTGACCTCGTGATCCACCTGCCTCGGCCTCCCAAAGTGCTGGGATTACAGGCTTGAGCCACCGCGCCCGGCCATGAGAATAGTTTTAACCCAGGAGGCAGAAGTAGCTGTGAGCCAAGATTGTGCCACTGCACTCCAACCTGGGTGAGAGAGTGAGACTCTGTCTCAATAATAATAATGATACTAATAAAGTCTGCTGCGTGAAAATAGAAAAGAGAAGACAAAAATAAATAGGTAAACATTAAAAAACAAAGATTAAGGAATTCAGCAATGTTCATTTACCCTTTAATGATCATTTACTCTTTTAGCCCTGTTTAAATTCACAAAATAGCATAAACCACATATATATGTAGAGACTAAGAAGCAAATCTAGAGTACACTTAGGTTGTCATTCCCCAGTGAGGAGGTTAATATTCGCTGCCAGGCACCACAATCTGCATATCCGTTCTGCAAAACATATTCCCAGCCACAATTTTATCAGCAGGTAGTGGGATTCATACAGATGAGCAATTACTTGTACAATTGCATTTTAAATGAACTGAATCCAGTTTGACTTTCTCTTTGAGTACAGAGCTACAACGAATATGTTAGCATAAGAGTTAAAAGTTAGCTTGGAATTCTGGCTTTTCCTTTTTCACTGTTATTATCTGTGTGACTTTGGGCAAGTTACTTAATCTACTTATACCTCAGTTTCCTTATCTGTAAAATGGCTGTAATAGAGAGGACTCAGTTTACATGGTTGTTGAAAGCATTAAATGACATAATTTGAATAAAGCACTTAGCAAAGTGCTCAGTAAATGTTAGCTAATAAGTAAATACGGTATTTATATGTATATATAACAGATGAGCTTAAGTATGTATCTTTCAAAAGCAGGAGAAGGTGAACATAATAACCTACTGTCCATATAAATCTCCAAGTTGCTTCTTGTAATATATATCTATACGCATACACACAGAAAGCACTTCTGTATCCTTTGAAGCACCATTTTAAAACCATTGATTAAAGGACCTGATAACAGTTCTTTTTTTCCCTCATTAAACATAATACATTTTTAATATTTCTGTTTTAGTCGTAATTGACAATGATAAATATTTGTGGAGTAAAATGTGATGCTCTGATACATGTATATATTGTAGAATGATTAAATAAGGCTAATAAGTATGTGAGGTGATGTCCGTCATCTCAGCAAACTGGAAAGGGTGTGCCCCAGTCAAACGCATGATATCCATGACCTCACATACTTATTTGTTTGTGATGAGAACATTTAAAATCAACTTTTAGCAATTTTGAAAAATATATAATACATGATGACTAATTACAGTCACCATGCTGTGCTGTAGATCACTAGATCTAGAACATAGAACATACTAGATCACTAGAACATACTCCTTGGGTGAAAACAGTTTTTAAAACTGTCAGATGTTGGCCAGGTGCAGTGGCTCACACCTGTAATCCCAGCAATTTGGGAGGCTGAAGTAGGTGAAACGTGTGAGTCCAGGAGTTTGAGACCAGCTTGGGCAACATGGTGAAACCACGCCTCTACAAAAAAATACAAAAATTAGTCACATGCGGTGATAGTCCCAGCTACTTGAGAGACTGAGGCAGGAGGATCACCTGAGCGTGGGGAGTTCAAGGCTGCAATGAGCTGTGATTGCACCACTGCATTTCAGCCTGGGCAACAGAGTGAGTCCCTGTTTCCAAAAAAAAAAAAAAGTCAGATATTTTCCCTGAGTGCATTAGAAACTCTTTCCTATAACAGTCCAATGAATAGCACTAGCACTGGGATTTTTGTGTTATAGGTGAGGAAATAAACACTCCTTTTGCTGAGACTAAGGAGTCAGGTTGGGGTCTCTGGACACATAGTGCAATCAGAGGAGGCTTAAGACAGGAGAGCGCCTCAGAGAATCCATTCGTTCTTCCAGCCACTAGCTAAGCACATGCCATGTGTTAAATACACAGTCCTGCCTGCCTGGTGCTTCTATTTTTCTGATGTGAGAATCCTGCTTCATTTTATTATTGGAGGATCTTGTGCTGCAGAGCCTGTTGGGAAAAACGGTGGGCTAGAAACCTGCTTGGGGAATGGTCTTTCTGGTGCTTATCCCTGGGAGCTGTGTGTTTTTTTTTTTTTAATAATCACTATTATTTCTTTGTTAGAAATAAAAAGCATAGATTGATGCCAAGTAAGGAAACGCAGATGATCTTTGCTGCAAATTCTGGTTATGGCCACTGACGTTGCACTGTCTTTTCTCCTGTCCGCCTGTGCAGGCCTGGGCAGTGGGATGGCCTACCTGCCAGCGGTGGTCATGGTGGGCAGGTATTTCCAGAAGAGACGCGCCCTCGCCCAGGGCCTCAGCACCACGGGGACCGGATTCGGCACGTTCCTAATGACTGTGCTGCTGAAGTACCTGTGCGCAGAGTACGGCTGGAGGAATGCCATGTTGATCCAAGGCGCTGTTTCCTTAAATCTGTGTGTTTGTGGGGCACTCATGAGGCCCCTCTCTCCTGGGAAAACCCCAAATGACCCAGGAGAGAAAGATCTGCGCGTCCTGCCGGCGCACTCCACGGAATCTGTGAAGTCGAATGGACAGCATGGAAGAACAGAAGAGAAGGATGGTGGGCCCGGGAACGAGGAGACCCTCTGTGACCTGCAAGCCCAGGATTGCCCCGATCAGGCCGGCCACATGAAGAACATGTGCGCTCTCCGGATTCTGAAGACAGTCAGCTGGCTCACCATGAGAGTCAGGAAGGGCTTCGAGGACTGGTACTCCGGCTATTTTGGGACGGCCTCCCTATTTACAAATCGGATGTTTGTAGCCTTTATTTTCTGGGCTTTGTTTGCCTACAGCAGCTTTGTCATCCCCTTCATTCACCTCCCAGAAATCGTCAATTTGTATAACTTATCCGAGCAAAACGATGTGTTCCCTCTGACTTCAATTATAGCAATAGTTCACATCTTTGGAAAAGTGATCCTGGGCGTCATAGCTGACTTACCTTGCATCAGCGTTTGGAATGTCTTCCTGTTGGCCAACTTCACCCTTGTCCTCAGTATTTTTATTCTGCCATTGATGCACACGTATGCTGGCCTGGCGGTCATCTGCGCACTGATAGGGTTTTCCAGTGGTTATTTCTCCCTAATGCCCGTAGTGACTGAAGACTTGGTTGGCATTGAACACCTGGCCAATGCCTACGGCATCATCATCTGTGCTAATGGCATCTCTGCGCTGCTGGGACCACCTTTTGCAGGTAAACTCTCTGAGGTTTTAAGAGCTCAGGGTGCATGTAGATACAGCGTGTTACGTTATAAAGTTCAAGATAAAGAACAAGGAGGTTTCCATGTGTGTACATGTTCCTTTTATCTTTTCATTCTTGCCCCCTAATTTCTCATTTATACATTTTAGCAAGCTAAAGGACATTCTTTTTGGGTTTGTTTTGTTTTGTTTTTTTGAGACAGAGTCTCGCTCTATTGCCCCGGCTGGAGTGCAGTGGTACAATCTGGGCTCACTGCAACCTCTGCCCACTGAGTTCAAGCGATTCTCCTGCCTCAGCCTCCCAAGTAACTGGAATTACAGGCGCACGCCACCACGCTGGACTAATTTTTTATATTTTTGGTAGAGATGGGTTTCACCATGTTGGCCAGGCTGGTCTCGAACTTCTGACCTCAAGTGATCCACTCTCCTCGGCCTCCCAAAGTGCTGGGATTACAGGCATGAGCCACCGCACCCAGCCAAGGCCATTCTTTTATGTAGAATGTAGATGAATTTTACCCACATGATCCTTACCCACACAGTAAAGCAGCCAGGCTGGTAGAGTGAGGACCTAAAGCGGATAGGGATGATGGAATAGTGCAGGGCTCCTTACCCATTTGAAGAAGGCAGCCTCTGGGCAGTTCCAGCTGATTTCTGTCACCAAGAAATACTGAGAACTGTTCCCAGATCTTCTGTTGTGGTTTCTCCCTAAAGGGAAGCTAAGAATCTGGGCTGTTAGGTGGCACTAACAGATTTCCAAAACAGTATGTGGCAAGTGCGACGAAACACATCCATGGACTCAATCCAGCCCTACATTTGCTTCCTATTGTTGCTGTAATAAGTTGCCATAAACGTATGGTGGCTTAAAACAATAGATTGGCCAGCCATGATAGCTCAGACCCATAATTCCAGTACTTTGGGAGGACAAGGCAGGAGGACCACTTGAGCCCAGGAGTTCAAGACTAGCCTGGGTCACGCAGCCAGACCCCATCTGCACACACACACACAAACACACACGCACAAAATACAGATTTATTATCTTATTGTTCTGGAGGTCAGCAGAGCTGCATTCCTTCTCAAGACTCTAGCGGGGAATTTGTTTTCTTGTCTTTTCCAGCATCTAGAGGCTAGTTCCATTCTTTGGTGCTCGCCCCTCTCTGGCTCCGCCTTCTCAGCCAGCAGTGTGACATATTCCCACCTCTCTCTGATTCAAACTTCCTGCCACCTCCTTTCACTTGTAAGGGTGCCTATGATCACACTGGGCTCATCTGGAAAATCCAGGATCCTCTCCCCCGCCCAGGTCCTAACCTAATCACACCTACGATGTCCCTTTTGCCCTGTTAGCTCACATATTCACAGGGGCCAGAAATTAGGACTTTGGCGTTTCTGGGGGTAAGAGCATTCTGCCTAGCACAGGCCCAGAAGCCACTAGTTGGCAACACCTAGGATACGATCTCTCCCATGTATTCACTTCATTTGCAAGAGGCAAATTCACCAGAGAACATGGTATTCACATACCAGAAGCCATGGGCACCAAGGAATCTTGTGTCTGGGCCGGTGCCTTTGTGGAAAGGCAATTCAGGGTTGGGCAGGTAGACTCATGCCCCAAGACACCAGGTACTGGGTGAAGATGACAAGGTCTACTGTCTAAGAACTGGAGACAGGGGTCTGGATAGCATGCAGGGGCTGGGGCAGATTGCCAACGCAAAGGGGCTTTCTGGTGGTGGCCATCAGACAGACAGCCAGGGCTGGGGGTGGTTGTCAGAGCTGCTAGAGGCTTTGTGCAGAGCTGCGATCTAACCCAGTGGAGCCTCACCTGTTGAGATGTCCCCTCTCCCCAACCACCCCCGCCAACACCCTCCTGTCTGGGCCCTCTAGGCCCTAGATTCTCATATCCTCTGGCAGGAATATCTCTTCCCAGTGGGTGAAGGAATCCCATGGTTAAAGGACAAAGCCCCCCCTGCCCCTTTTTTCCCAGTCTTTCTATAAATTCTAAAGTTACCTCCTCCCTTAAGACCCCCACTGGCAGAGAGCTTGTGCCAACAAACATGCTTTTAAATCCCCCCAAGAAATCATAGATTTTTGCCTATACAGCAGACAATGCTGGCAGTTGGCTGACTAAAGGTTTAAGGTCCAAGAGTCACGTTAGGAATCCCCAGGGCTACACACAGGGCTCCTCCTGGAGCAAGCTGCTCCTGCTCTCTGCCTGTGCACAGAGATGAGATGCAGCATTTTTAGGTGACAATGACTATAGCAATGGAGCAAACAGTGGCAGTTGAAAAGTCTAAAATTGCTCACTGATCTCATCGTGTAAAATTCTCTATCAGGTCAAAGTGCATTTGGTTATGACATTCTGACAATGATAATTTAAACAGATTTCTGTCACATAACCAGAAATACAGAGTTTGGGGACTGGATGATACTGGGGCAATATCTCAGAAATCCTCTTGACCCTTTCCTCATGCTAACTGCCTCATGGTGACACAATGGTTGCTGTAGCTCCACCCACTGCATCATCATTTAACAGGGAGAAGGAAGTGGGGAAAGGCTCAGTCCAAGCAGAATTCCACTTACATCTGATGGGCCAGAACTACGTCACACAGCTAGTCCAAGCTTCAAGGGGAGCTGTGAATGGAATATTTTGCTTTCCCGTCTCCATACTAGAGGAGGGAAAGGAGAAACGAATTGGGATTGGTGGTTGAATCAGTCAACAAATGGTGCCTGCTAGAGATGTTAAACTTTCATGTTAGAGACATGGGGGCGTAGTAGCAGCTCCTCCACCCTCTTGCTGGACGTCCTTCAGATACGTCGTATGCAGAAATGGACTCTGTCACTGATGGTTCTTTGCACAATCCAGGGGTACTTTCTTCTAATGGGCAGGCTAGGGTTGTTTTGTATTAATCCGTCAGATTTCAACGGAAGTATCACAATGCAACTGTGAGGTATGGCGTGAGTAATTTATGATCAGTGTGCGTCAAAGCACCAGAGTTTGCCAGGATGGTTTACTTGTCCCCTGCCTGCGGTCATGTGCATTCTAGTGAGCGTCCTTGAGTGAAAGAGAAAGGAATGATAAGTAGAACGGGGAGTGATACCCAGCCCTCAGTCATCAGATCTTATCTCTTGACTGCTTCAAGGTTCCTCCCTGGAGGTGGATTCTATAGAGCAATGGGATCCACCGTGGCGGGTAGAAATTGTTGTATTAATGGTTGGGAGTCTTCTGTGATGGGTATCGTATGCTGCTATGGAAACCCCAGAATCAACGTTCTGATGTGCCTGTCTAGGCCAGCAAGCTAAAGGGGACTTTCTTGTTTTGCGTTTGTTGGTTTCTTCATCTTCCATTGAATTCATACACTAAGGAGTGATGAACAGCATTCACTGGCTACCTGCCTGATATTTAACTTAGTGACTTTCCAGACCAAGGAGCCAACATTGCAATGAGATGCAAGCCAGCACTTACATACACTGTACGGTCAGAGTAGCTGGCGATATGAGTGAGGACATGACCACATTAAACTCTTGCTAGAAATTTGAGGTGCGCTAGGAATTACTTAGCTGGGTTTGCTGCAAAGAAAATTACTGTTCACATTACCTTTTTTAAAAAAAGAAACTTTTCAAGAATCAGAGATATTGAACAGACATTTCAACCATGTCATTCAGTAGCATGGACTTCTTGATCTAATTTATTTATAATATTGTTGGGAACTTTGTTCAACCCCTTTAAAGATGTAATAAAAGCCTGGGTGCGGTGGCTTGTGCCTGTAATCCCCGCACTTTGGGAGGCTGGGGCTGGTGGATCACCGGAGGTCAGGAGTTTGAGATAACCTGGCCAAAGTGGTGAGCTCTCATCTCTACAAAAATACAAAACTTAGGTGCCTGTAATCCCAGCTACTTGAGAAGCTGAGGCAGGAGAATCGCTTGAACCCAGGAGGCAGAGGTTGCAGTGAGCTGAGATCACACCACTGCACTCTAGGCTGGGTGACAAGAGCGAGACTCCGTCTCAAAAATAAAATAAAATAAAATAAAATGATGTAATAATAGTAGATATATTCCTAGATGTTTCAGTGTATAATATGGCAAAAACTCGGCCATCAGGTTTGGCTGACCAACATTCTACACACACCTCTTCCATTCACATAAAATCTAACACTTAATAATTTGCAATGTTTTTCACCAAAAGCTGGGGCCCCTTATTTTATTAATAAGAAAAACAGTTATTAATTATTTGACAGAATCAAATGAAAAGAAAATGCACTTTAATAGGGAACCAGATTTTACTTCGAAGCTGTAGATTTGAATTGGTGCTTGGATGATGGTTGCCAAGAATCTCGGGTTCCAAATCCAGGAACTGAGGTCAGACCTCTAGGAGGGGTGGCAAAGGATGAATGAGGAGGGAAGCTTGTGGGAGCTGTCTTCTCTCTAAAGGAGTTGTGTCAACATGTGCTGAAGCTCAGAGCTCCTGGTAGAGTCCAGTCTCTCCTGACCTGCTTTACATCCGACTGGCTTTGAATTCAAACTAGCAGAAATATTAAAACAGGCACCAAAGGGAGATGACAGGATCCAGAGTTATTTATAAGTAAATCCTAAACGTAGATTGGAGAAAACCTATGGGATTAACATAACACGAAATTCATGACTACCCCTACAATTTGTACTATGTTAAATTGTTCAGTGAAGTTGAGTGTGCTTTTTTAAAAAAATTGACATGAGTTATGTTTGAAGCTTGGGCATGTGGAGATGCTCTTACAAATGCTTATATTTTTAGAGGAAAGAGGACAGTTGTTTACAAAAATAATAATAATAATGAATTTGGCTGGGCACGGTGTCTTACGCCTGTAATCCCAGCACTTTGGGAGGCCAAGGCAGGTGGATCACCTGAGGTCAGGAGTTTGGGACCAGCCTGACCGACATGGTAAAACCCCATCTCTACTAAAAATACAACAATTAGCCAGGCATTGGTGGCACATGCCTGTAATCCTAGTTACTCAGTAGGCTGAGGCAGGAGAATCGCTTGAACCTGGAGGGGCAGGGGGTGGGAGACGGTGCGGAGGCTGAAGTGAGCAGAGATCATACCTCTGTATTGCAGCCTGGGGGACAGAGTGAAACTCTGCCCCAAAACATAATAATAATCATAATAATAATGAATTCAATTTAAGGCTGTAGCACTATGTAATATACTTAACAGACATTTTTTTTTTTATATTCTGCAGAGTAAAGATGAAGGATGGGGTGGGGGAAAGGGAAGGAATCCTAGGGTGCTGCTCTAAGGGCGATGGTATTTATTACTGTCCCACCCAGAAGGGGGAACAGGACATGTTCAAACAAGGAGCCAAGAGAAATGTATTTGAAATGCTAACAAATTCAGCATGACTTGTCGTGGTGAGCAGGGGAGAAAGGTAGGCAGAGGCCACATCACAGAGCCTGGAGCTTATAATGAGCCACTTCCAACGAAAAGTAAATAAATAGTCTAAACGAAATACAGCTTAACTTTCCAGCCAGTAGGATTTTGTCCTATTTCCAAGGTTCATGTTAAGCAGCAATAATAGTTCGACTTGTTTCAGCCATTGGTGTTTGTTACTTACAGTCATCACTTCTGCCCTCAATCACTTGATCATGTGGAAATCGAGGATTTAGCCATTAAAATGACCTGGTCGGCAGGGTGTGGTGGCTCACGCTTGTAATCCCAGCACTTTGGGAGGCCAAGGTGGGTGGATCACAAGGTCAGGAGTTCAAGACCAGCCTGGTCAATATGGTGAAACCCCGTCCCTACTAAAAATACAAAATTAGTTGGACATGGTGGCGCACACCTGTAGTCCCAGCTACTCGGGAGGTTGAGGCAGGAGAATTGCTTCAACCTAGAGGCAGAGGTTGCAGTGAGCCAAGATTGTGCCACTGCACTCCAGCCTGGACCACAAGAGTGAGGCTCCATCTCTAAATAAATAAATAAAATGACCTAGTCAGCTTTCATATGAGATGAGTGGACTATGAGAACCTCGTTTGTATTTTTTTTTTTTTTTAATTGTAGATGACAACTTTGCGCAGTGGCAGTATCGTAGCCAATGAGGTTTATCCGAGGCACGATTATTGCTAACTGAAAACATTTCCCAATACCCCGCCATGACGACTTGAAATATAGTTGGCATTGGCAATTTTTGACAGTCTCTATGGAGACTGAAAATTAAAAAAAAAAAAAGAAAGAAAATTGTAGATGACAGTTAGTCCCGTCATGCACTGTAGATACAGACCACTCTGCATTACCTGCAAGTGGATTGTTCATACTGTCCTAATTCACAATTGTCCACAGTTGCCAACTGGTAACACTGAGCAGAAGTTAGGTGTGTTTTTGTTCATATGTCAGTGTCATCGTGCCTTTCTGATTCAGTTCGGAAGCTGAAGCATTATTTTTGGATTCTGTTTAATCTTTTTGTTCCCCTTGTCTCCAATTACAGATTAAGAAAAGATAAAGCATTTTACTCAGCCACTTCTAAAGAGTCGGATTTTTTCTTTTCTTTTTTTTACATCAAATAACAAATTCAAAAACTTGGTTTACTTTTAAAGGTTATCCAGAATTCATACCTTTTAACTTGTTGCTTTAAAAAAAAAAAAAAAGATTATAAATTTGTAAGCTATTGTTTGTTTTTCTTTATGAATGCCTTGGCTGATCCCTGTAAATAAGTAATCCAGGCACATACATCTTGCACTAGATAGAATAAACAAAGAGATACAGAAAACAACCAGGAAGTCCGAGGGACTAGTTTACACCTTTCTCGGTTCCTTTGTGTGGCTGTTTTCTTGATGGGAGGTATTTAAGTTGGATTTATGCATTCATTTGCCAAGTAGATTTTTTAAAAGATGTTTCTGAAAAGTGGACATGGAATACTATGTTTGGTCATAAAATCTTATTATTTATTTTATTTTATTTATTTTATTTTTTTGAGACAGAGTTTCGCTCTTGTTACCCAGGCTGGAGTACAGTGGCACCATCTCGGCTCACTGCAACCTCTGCCTCCTGGGTTCAAGCAATTCTAATGCCTCAGCCTCCTGGGTAGCTGGAATTACAGACATGCACCACCACGCTCAGCTAATTTTTGGAATATTTTTGTTGCTGTTTTGTTTGTTTTAAGATGGAGTTTCGCTCTTGTTGCCCAAGCTGGAGTGCAATGGTGCAGTCTCGGCATACTGCAACCTCCGCCTCCAGGGTTCAAGCGATTCTCCTGCCTCAGCCTCCCAAGTAGCTGGGATTACAGGTGTGTGCCACCACACCCAGCTAATTTTTTGTATTTTTAGTAGAAACAGGATTTCACCATGTTACCCAGGCTGGTCTCGAACTCCTGACCTCAGGTGATCCAGCCACCTTGGCCTCCCAAAGGGCTGGGATAACAGATGTGAGCCACTGCACCCAGCAAGTTTTGTATTTTTTAGTAGAGACAGGGATTTCACCATGGCTCCTGGCTTCACGTGATCTACCCACCTTGGTCCCCCAAAGTGCTAGGATTACAGGTGTGAGCCACTGAGCCTGGCCATTAAATCATTTATATTTTAAGTCTTTCCTAATTAATGTACTTAGAAAAAAGAAAAAAATAAATGTTCAAAATTTACATTTTTACCATAAATAAAACTCCTGTGTGTAGCTCAGTCCTCTCAGTTTGCATAGCTGGCTATGTGGGAACTATGACATGTGATCCATTCTTAGAATTAATCAGTGAAGTATAGGAAACATATTTCATAGATTCTGAGACTTTTTTTCATATTTTAACATCTCTAAAATTAGAATGCCTTCTACAAAGTCCTGAGGAAATATTGAGTCATATTTGAATGGACAAGGATATTTATTTCTTACTGATAAATAAAATATGGCACATCCGTGTCTTAGAATTCATGAAATATAGTGGTATTTTACAGGATGTCTAGTAAAATTATTATATTAAGGTGTTAGATTATAATATTAAATTATTATTTGAAAATAGAATAATTTAGTCAGCATCCATGACAGTATCTTGGGCCACTTAGGGTTTTATAAATGTAAATATTAAAGTTTTATGATTGTAAATGTGAATTTTATAGCACCTGAAGATTTTTTTTCTTTCTAGAACAGATGTTTACCGTCAAATATTTCAGAAGTATTGAAAGTTCAGATATCTTCTGCTCAGCCTCTTTTGATACACACTAAAAACTTCAGAATCATTTTTGTAGGTTTTAGAAAAGATTCATGTTTGCACTTGTGAAAAAAGAAAATCATTCGATTCACTTTTCATTGCTGGCCTTGTGCGTGCCTTCAAGTGAACCAGAAGGTTCTCCCCATGAGTCCGCTGGGAATTGCTTCAAATGCCTTCCAAAGTGCCCAAGTGCCTTAAAAAAATGAATGCAGCCCTCCCCTGGCAATGTGGGAACACTGGTATATAGTATACTCTTAAAAATGGCTAAATGAAAACAAAAAAAGGAAAAGAAATGGATAAATGAAACATTTTATTGGTATGAAATGACATATAAATTCTTTTAGCAATATTTATAGCAGCAATAAACGCCTGTTTTATGTTCTTGACTTTATTTTATCAACTCCATAACATTGAATATATTCTTTTTTGTTTTGTAGGGTGGATCTATGACATCACGCAAAAATATGATTTTTCCTTCTACATATGTGGTTTGCTTTACATGATAGGAATACTCTTTTTACTTATTCAGCCATGTATTCGAATCATAGAACAATCCAGAAGAAAATACATGGATGGTGCACATGTTTAGTATCGTGTAATGTTCCATGTCAGGTTTCAATGTAATACTCATGCCTACCTCGCATGGTTGCTGTGAGGCGCCTATGGCAGGACCTGGGAAAGCACTTTGTACGGTAACTGGCACTGTCATTTGTAAATGCCATTGTCACAGCCTCATTTGTAAGCAGCACTGCCTCTCTGTTTGGGGAGACGTAATGCTGAAACATTAAGGACTACATACATTCTGGCGATGACAGTGTTGTTCAAAGACAGCCTGTTAAATAATTGGGAGAAACGCCCTTATAAAACCATTCTCTTGTCATCTACTGGGACTAGGGTTTTAAATACAGCTCTTAAAAACAGGGAATAAAAGCGTTTCAACTCAGCCGCTTCTTTGCAAGACAAAACTGAAGTATCTGTGTGCTTCCAGAAAGCTTACAGATCAATGGGTTTCAAGCACAAGAATATGACTGGATTTCAGAAATTAGTGATTACAGGGAGATATTGATCTACGAGCATCAAAGGCATGCTCTAATTCCACAGGTAATACAACATAGTACAATTAAAGAAACGCGGCTCATATTTTTATGAGGGAATTCTGTGGCTAGGGATTGTGATTCAGAAATCCTCCTCTAAAAGAAGGCATTTGTCATTAATCCTAATTCAGTGTTATCCAGTTATAAATGGAATCTTGAGACAAAACCTTAACAAAGAACTAACAGTAATGATTTCCTTTGCAGAAGTCGTGTTTGTACGCACAACGTTAAATCAAGGGCTACAATTCAAGCACTTTTATTCATATCATTGGCCTCTTAGATGATAAGCATGATCTGGGGCCTGTAATAGTTTTTTCTGAGTTTCTTCTGCCCAAAAAATATAATGTAGAACTAATTGCTAACTGACAAAGTTAATAGTTAAATCAACTGCAAGGAATGTTACTAATCCAAAATACAACACTGTCAAGTTGTGAGGGTAATAAGTGGAATCCCCTTAGTATAGATGTCTGTGCCACCCCTGACATTGGAGTAGTGATAACAAATAGCCTATCTCTAGAGTCTCGTGTTCTTATATAGACCATTCATTTGCCTGAGCTTGGCACAGTTTTAAAAATAGTTCTCTTGCTTGATTTCATACAGAAGACGACTGTGATCTATGACATCCAATAATGCCCTTTCTTTATCTGAGATGTCTATTTTTCTAAGCCAAATGTTTTTCAGACTACAGAATGTTTTTCCCAGAATTGTTTGAAATTTCTGGCTGCCTTACTTGTTTACACATACTTTAAAACTATTTAAATTTCTACTCGCAATTTGATCATCACACACAAACAAATCCTTGAATATCATTGCCAGCGTCTTAGGTCAAATTTATCTAAAGCAAATACAGCCCATTCTCAATTATCCTTGACAATTAGAGGCAGGGATACTTCTAGGAATTGGAATCAAACAATGCCACCCCAAGTCTAATTTTAGCCAGCAGTTTCAGTTATACTCAACCACGCCCTTCTGAGTTGTTAACGAGTTCTCTTTTTGTTTCATCTCCACTATTTCCTGCTCTAATGTCTAGTGGGAGCGGTTGTATAATGAAAGGACCACCAAAATAATAAAAGGCAGCTAATGGAAAGGAGACACAAAAGCATGTTTAATATATACACTCAATATTACCTCCAATGACTCGGGAATTGCCCGTAAATTATTATAGACGATAGATTGCATGTCATAATCCATTTGGTTCAACACAACCACCTATGTGTTATCATCACAGCTTTGGCTGCTGTTACAGAATCCAGCTCTCTATTTTGATAAAGATAATCTTAAAGCTGAGGCAATGCTCCCTCTTCTGTCTCTCTCTATGATTTACCATAGAATTAGGATGATTAGATTGAAACACATGTTGTTGTCTGTTTTAAAACTGACTACATTGATTCATTACTTTCATTTTCCGACAACATCAAATTAACACAAGAGGCAGTGTTAAGTATTTTAAATGGTGCTAAAGCCAATGTATTTGGATGCTTGCACTGCTGGTTGTGTATCATCAATACGAACCTTTTATCCAATGACTCGACTTTGATTACGTCTAGGTTAGACTTGCTCACGTTCAGTTTGTACAGTTGTTTGTAGACTTACTATGTTTTTGGTAGAAGTGGTAACTTCTACCAAATGAGAAGTTCCCATTGTCAAAAAAACAAAGACCTGCTTGCAGTATTTATGTTGACAAAAGAGCAAAAGAGAATACTGTAAAGAATTACTGCGAATATTTCCTGTTTATGTTAGTGGTCATTCTTTTGAAGATATTATAAAGGGTTAAATGTGTGTTTGTATTATGTGCTTCATGGTTTTCCCCTCATGTATCCGAGTAATTTCTATTTACATACAACCAAATAAATGTTGTCCTCTTTGAAGATGGTCAGTGAGTTTTTGTATAAAATTTCTATGTTCTTGGCCTCAAAGAGAAGACTTCTAAAATGTAGCTGGTAATTATTTGTTTCATTCTTCCCCCTGAAAAACTATTTCTCTAGGTGTCACAAACCACCTGGACAGAATCACCTAGAATGCTTGTGAGAAGTGCTAAGTCTAAGTATTAAATTTAAAATGCACACATCTTTGAATCCAGCAATTGCATTTCTAACATCATTTTCTACATATGAACACAGACAAGTAAGGATTTGTTGTTTATGGTTTGTTATATAAAAGACTGGAAACAGCCACGCGCGGTGACTCTCACCTATAATTCCAGCACTTTCGGACGCCGAGGCGGGCAGATCACCTGAGGTTGGGTGTTCAAGACCAGCCTGACCAACATGGAGAAACCCCGTCTCTACTAAAAATACAAAATTAGCCGGGTGTGGTGGCAGGAGCCTGTAATCCCAGCTGCTCAGGTGGCTGAGGCAGGAGAATCACTTGAACCTGGAAGCGGAGGTTGCAGTGAGCTGAGATCGCGCCATTGCACTCCAGCCTGGGCACAAGAGCAAAACTCTGTCTCAAAAAAAAAAAAAAAAGTCCGGCACAATTTAAATGTCTACCAATAGATAACTGTTATAGCATAACTGTTAAAGTACAGTATAAAGTATTTTAAAGTACGGACTTCTAATAATACAGTGGATTTATAGAATTATTAAACAAAATAGGCAGATCTATATGTAGAATTCAGAAACAGTCTCTAAGACATAGTGCTTTAAAAAAACAAAAAGCAAGATAGGCCAGGTGTGGTGGCTTTTGTAATCCCAGCACTTTGGGAGGCCGAGGCGGACGGATCACTTTGAGCTCAAGAGTTCAAGACCAGCCTGGGCAACATGACGAAACTCCATCTCTACTAAAAATACAAAATTAGCTGGGCATGGTGGCAGGCACCTGTACAATCCCAGCTACTCCGGAGCCTGAGGCAGGAGACTTGTTTGAACCCGGGAGGCAGAGATTGAAGTGGGCTGAGATGGCGCCATTGTACTCCAGCCTGGGCAACAGAGCGAGACTCTGTCTTAAAAAAAAAAAAAAAAAAGGCAAGATAAAACAAAATGTTTAATATGCCCTAATTATATGTTTTCATTACAAAAAAAAGTCATTCATATATATAATAGTCTTAGAAATAGAAAATTGCTGGGAAGAAACATAAGAAAACATTAGCAGTTTTTGGCTCCAGAGAAGAAAATCTGGGGAATAAGGTAGCTCTGGCTTTTTTCCTTATCCACATAATGCTTTTTCAATTTAAAATTTGTATACAAAATTATTTTGAATCTAGATTCCCGGGCCTACTTAAAACCTAGAGAATTGGGGCTGGGACCATTAAATCTTCCTTTCAGATAAGCTTCTCAATCGATTCTTACGCATACTAAAATTGCAGACCTGGTCTCCGCATGTTTAAGGGCAAAACTTTCCAATTAATTTCAAATACTTGTCCTGACTCTCATGATTTCCCTTCATACAGCATTCTGGTCAATTACTATCTACGAAGGCTTCACAGTGTATCATCTTTTTTTTTCATACTTTAAGTTCTGGGGTACATGTGTAGAACGTGCAGGTTTGATACATACGTATACATGTGCCACAGTGGTTTGCTGCACCCATCAACCCGTTATCTACATTAGGTGTTTCTCCTAATGCTATCCCTCCCCTAGCCCCCAACCCCCGACAGGCCCTGGTGAGTGTGATGTTCCCCTCCCTGTGTCCATGTGTGTTCAGCTCCCACTTAAGAGAACATGTAGTGTTTGGTTTTCTGTTCTTGGGTCAGTTTGCTGAGAATGATGGTTTCCAGCTTCATCCATGTCCCTGAAAAGGACATGAACTCATCCTTTTTTATGGCTGCATAGTATTCCATGGTGTATATGTGCCACATTTTCTTTATTTAGCCTATCATCGATGGGCATTTGAGTTGGTTCCAGTTCTTTGTTATTGTGAACAGTGCTGCAATAAACATATGTATGCATGTGTCTTTATAGTATAATAATTTATAATCCTTTGGGTATACACCCTGCAATGAGATTGCTGGGTCGAATGGTATTTCTAGTTCTACATCCTTGAGGAATCACCACACTGCCTTTCATAATGATTGAAGTAATTTACACTCCCACCAACTGTGTAAAAGTTCTTATTTCTCCACATCCTCTCCAATATCTGTTCTTTCCTCACAGTGTATAATCTTTTACTCAGTCCTTTTCCAATCAACACGTGTAGACCAGGCTTCTATAGGAGCAAGACGGGCTAATGCAAAGCCCCTGCCCTCAAGCAGCCCACATGCATAAGTAACCTGCTATTCCAGCGTAGGAAGAGTGATAACAAAGCTAATGGAAAAATTAGCTGGGTGTGGTGGCGGGTGCCTGTAATCCCAGGCTGAGGATGGCGAATTGCTTGAACCTGGGAGGTGGAGGTTGCAGTGAGCCGAGATCACGCCACTGCACGCCAGCCTAGACAACAGAGCGAGATTCTCTGTCTCAAAAAAAAAAAAAAGAAGTAAAGAAGTAAAGAAGGGGCAGGGTTGTGATTTGCTTTTGCTGAGTTTCCATCCGGCACGCTCTGGCAATGCCAGCCGAATGGGCCTGTGCGCCCTTCTCAGCGCAGTTCAGTAACTTACCCACTTCAGTGGCTTTTTCATTTCTGGTTTAAAAAGCTGTAAGGACACATTTTGGGCCTTTAACAAACTCATCATATCTACAGTTAAGAGATTCAACTAAAAAAAAATATTCAACTCCTTTTTTCTTTAGACTGAATGATTCCTCTCAAAGTGATGCCACAACTTAAGAGGCCCCAGAAAAGGTAAATTTTAACACTATAAAGCCAACGAAAAATACCACTGAGTCATATTTATTCTTTTTTTTTTTACTAGTTTTTCCCTTACGTAAGTTTGAAAACTACTTAATATGTCGGTTTCATCTTTTTTAAGCATCTTTAATCTTCAATAGTGCAGCTGTGGGCTAAGAGAGAGAGATTTCCCGTATCCTCTTTTAAAGCAAATTACTCATCCTTAAATAGAATAAAAATATAAATGTTTAAGTTTTCAATAAAATATTAAATTCTAGAATTCACATTTTAGTAGGGTTTTAAAACTATTTTTAAAAATACTTTTGGCTGGGCAAAGTGGTTCACCGCCTGTAATCCCAGCACTTTGGGAGGCCAAGGCGGGTGGATTACCTGAGGTTAGGAGTTCCAGACCAGACTGACCAATAAGGTGAAACCCCTTCTCTACTAAAAATACAAAAATTAGCTGTGCGTGGTGACGGGCACCTGCAGTCCCAGCTACTCGGGAGGCTGAGACAGGAGAATTGCTTGAACCTGGGAAGCAGAGTCTGCAGTGAGCTGAGATCAGTCTACTGCACTCCAGCCTGGTGACAGAGCAGAGCTCCTTCTAAAAAACAAAACCTAGCCGGGCGTGGTGGCACATGCCTGTAATCCCAGCTACTCGGGAGGCTGAGGCAGGAGAATTGCTTGAACCCAGGAGGCGGAGGTTGCAGTAAGCCCAGATAGCACTATTGCACTCCAGCCTGGGCAACAAGAACAAAACCCCGTCTGAAAAAAAAAACCCAAAAATCAAAAAAAGTACTTTAAACATTATTTCAAAGTAAGGCAACATAGTCTTTTTTGAGACCCTGTCTCCAAAAAAAAAAAAAAAAAAAGGAATGAATGAAAAGATAAATAATGCCTTAGAATAATGTCATAGTATTATGAAAATAGTTCTGACCTCACAGACCCCCGAAGGGGTTTTGAGGACTCCCAAGATCCCAGCAGCACACTTTGTGCTAGAGGAATCAGAGGAGAGATGGCTGAAGTGCGAAGTGGCCCTGGACGCTGGGCATGACTTGGTTAGGGGGCTGGCATGATGACGGGGCAAGGGGACAACAACATAGGTACAGGTGGGTGCCCCCACACCTGGCTAATTTTTGTATTTTTAGTAGAGACTAGGTTTCGCCAGATTGGTCAGGCTGGTCTCGAACTCCTAACCTCAGATAATCCACCTGCCTTGGCCTCCCAAAGTGCTGGGATTACAGGTGTGAGCCATTGCACTCGGCCTAAAACAGTATTTTTAAATGAATTAACAACAGGCGCTGAGAAGGAGATACTAAACTAGAAACTCTCTGTAGCAGCTAAGAGAGTAGCTTCAGAAGATGGCCAAGAGAGGCTAAGGAAATGCGGGAATAGTAGAGGATGGGGGAAGCAGTGAGGTGAGAGGAATTGTCATAGATGTTTGGTGGCTCGGAAGGAGAGAAATAAGAGGACACTGGGAAGGTCATTAGAATGAAGCTTCTTTCAAGGAGAGACCTATATTCTTTTTTTGTAGAGACAAGGTCTCACTTTTCAGTATATTTTTCAGGCTCATCTCAAAATCCTGGGCTTAATGGATCCACCTGCCTCTGCCTCCCAAAGTGCTGGGATTATAGCCTGGCCGATTCCTATATTCTCAAGAAAAGAAAAAGGGGCCAGGTGTGGTGGCTCATTCCTATAATCCTAGTGCCTTAGGAGGCCAAGGCAGGAGGATTGATTGAGGCCAGGAGTTCGAGACCAGCCTGGGCAACATAGCAAGACCCTGTCTCTATTTACATAAGTATTCAAAAAAGAAAAGAAAGGAGAATCTCTGAAGAGGAGAGATGGAAGATACAGGAGAATAAGGAGATGAGAAAGGCCAGAATCCCTAACAATGGAGAGAGGTGAGCACTGTAAATAAGTCAACTCCTCCCTCTGAAGGTAGAAGAAAGACAAGGTGGGCCCAGGACAGGGAGGTTTCAAGCAGGAGAGAAGAGAAGCTGTGACGTTCACACTGAAAAGCTTAATCTCTGCCAAGTGGGAGGTAAGGCTTAAAGATCCTACTGGGAGAAGCTCAGGAAATAAATTATACAAGGCCTGTTATGGCAATGGGTGGAAGCCAGAGGAAGCCAGACTGGGTCAGTCGGGGTCTGAGGCAGCACATCTGATGCGC